TATATATGTGTGTGTGTGTGTCACTTTTAGACTTATCTGTGTGTTTACTATAATAAAATCGTTGGATTAATAATTTATGTAATCCTGTACATCAAAGTTTGTTGAGACAAACTTTTTGTATTACTTGTTGTACCAATAAAATAGATAACCTACAATGTTTGATATTTGTTACGCTCCTGACTAGGATTTCACGTGATCTATTTTTTTCTTTTTTCACGATTCGACCCCTGTTTTTAATTTTTCTTTAAAATATATTCTCATTTATTTATAATTTGACCCTACCTTCCGAAATTTATTTTCAAATTCGTTCAAAATGTATATATTCTAAAAAAATAATTAAAATTAAAAACTTATTTATTATTATTATTTTAAAAAAATTAAAATTTTCTATTCCAAATCTAATTTTTGGACTAAGGATGTTCTACTCATATAGCGAAAAATGATTATCAAAGTTACAACTTTATTATTCTTTTTCTAAAAAAAAATAGAGAATACCTTTAAATTAAATTTGTATGATATTACCTTCAAATTAATTTTTTCTTTCCTGAATCTGGTTCATCTTTAAAAATGATGTTTTTGACGTGCACCTTTCACTTTCCTTCTAGGGATTGTTCTTTTCCATCAACTTGAATTCAGAGCAATTCATAGGTAAGAGAGCCTATGATAGAATTACATAGGAATAATATGAAGAAAACAATAGAAAAGACTAAAAGTAGAAACCATAAACCCAAGAACATTCAATGATGTAGCATGTTTCTTCTTTGGGGATATTTCTTCATGGCTTATAGCTTTGACATGGTAATATCCGATATCTAGATCATAAAACTTGTTAAGGACATCCTAAATTTTTCAACTCCTAAGTAACAGTATAAGTCTAATCGAACAAGAACATAAGACCCATCAGAAGATTTGTGTTTGGTTCAAGAAGAGCTTGTTTGCCTTTTCATATGAATTCCATGCAATATATAAAATTGGCTTGTAGATGCATTTTTACCTTGTCATTGCCATTCACTTTTACCAATCCAACTATCTTGAACTCCTTCACAGCTCCATATGTTTTTTAAAAGCTCTAGTAAGTACTACCTTTGAATTAGGTAGATTTATATTTTTAATATTTTATTTATGCAACAATTTGATCACCTGTGATATTTCTCTTATTAATTTACAATGATCTATACAATAGAGTTTCTAAAATGAGGACTACCACATGGCCATATATTGTTGTGGCTGGATTGAAGAAATGTTACCATTACTGCATTCACATGGATCATATAATTTCTGTTGAACTTCTAGAAAAGACAACTATTTGAATGCTTACAATGCAATTGTTAAGTATATGCTTCATGATCTATGTGGAGTGTCAAAAAGTAAATGCTTTACGTATAAAAGATGGAACGTCCACAAAGAGTTCCCAAAGAAATTCCATATAGAGACCAGAGTTAATGAGAATGGATATCTAATAGACAAAAGAAGAGATAAAAGTTTTTAGTAACAATAGCAATTTCTTGCCCAAATTTCAAGCGCTCATGAATCTTAAATAGTGTCACAAATTAAAGGCAATAAAGTATTTATCCAAATATGTGACCAAAGGACTAGATCGAAGAGTTTTACTAATTGCAAACAAATACTGTTATTGACAAGAACTTAACCATAAAAGAAAATATAAAATGTAGAGGAGATAAAAACATTCTTAGATTGTCGGTATTCATCATCATATGGGCCATCATGTTTATTGTAATAATTTGATATTCACTACATCAATCATAAGTGATTTACCTTTCATTTCATTATCCTAAAGAGTGAAATATTATCATAAGAAATATTAAAAGATTGAGTAATGCTATTAGGAATGAAGGAGTTCGTGAAACAATATTTATGGAATGGATTAAGATAAATTCCACAAATCCAATTGCTTATATATTAATATATACTGAATTTCCAACAAAGTTCACATAGATTAATAAAAAGAGATCTTGACCTATGAGAAAGTCAGGAAAATCTATTGGTACAATAACTTATACAAATCCAACAACTAGTGAAAGATATTTTATGGCTGCTGTCGAATATTGTGAACATGGCAAAAGGTTTTATCGATATCAGACAATTAACAGTGTAATACATGAAATATTTTGTAACAACCGGGCCCAAAATTTAGGCCCGGGATAATCAAATTTTAATAACAAATAAATTAAAAAATTTAATTCTTAATTTTTATTTGAAATTTTGAAGAAAATTGTGTTTTGGGTGTATTTAAAAATATTTTCAAATAACAAGGCCAAAATTTAAATAAGAAATGACCTATTTGAAAAATAATCTGAAGAACTAGAGCAAAAGTGAAAATAACATAAAGGAGGTCACGTGGACCACCACGTCAGTAGTGCGGCCGGTCGTCGTGCGCGGTGTGGCAGACACTCAAACAAGTGTCCAGGCAATAAGTCACCTATAAGGAATATTCTCGTAACCATATTAGGCATCGAAATTTAATATGCAAGGAATATAAACCCTAAATTCTAAATTATTTCTGCTTATATTTCATTAATTCAATATTTTCATTTAATTAAATTTTGAGCCTTTACATATTTAAACAGACATATTGTGCAATACGAATGCCAAATGATGAGAAGAAATGACATGATTGTTTGAAAGAAGCAAGTTTGTGGCAAGTTGTCACCAGTTAAAAAATCTTAACTTTCTATTGTTGCTTATTTATTTATTTTAAATATATAATATTTATCTATATACCTTTAGTTAAAATAATAATATATATAGTATTAAAATA